GACCTGAAGATCCTTCTGGTTCTGAAGTGGGTGCCTAAGTTCCTTGAGAGACTGGAATCGTCCTTTCAAAGCTGCAAATGCATGTTCAACACGAACACGAACCTATATAAATAAAAAATCAGTGAAAATTGCAAAAATCAGCCAAAAAATTTAGAAATACCCGAGAGAGGTTAATATTGAAGGATTTCTGGTCCCTGGTCAACCTCCCATTATGTGGCTTCTTGAAAGGGGCAATGCACCACTTCTCAAGTGGGTGGGCACTATCTGCCCAAATCCAATGGTCCTCTGGAAGAAGAGTGTCATGCTCCTGATAAATACGAGTGGATTTGAAGGCATAAGCATCATGTGTACTGCCAGGGTTACCCAGCGAATAATCAACTATGAGGAGGTTATGGGGCATAATGATTGCCTGAATTTTTTATCAGTTTCTAACTGTTAGAATAAAAGAAAAAAAATACCTGACAGTTGAGGGAATAGTTAGACTTCCTGTCATAAAATGCCTCACCATAAAGACCAGGTTTTTCATACAAATTAATGGCAGAACCATCAATTGCAAAAATACCATTTCTCCACTCAGGGCAGGACCTAGCCTCAACAAATTGCCGAGCACGCTCAGCATCTTCGGAGTCAGGAGTAGGAAATTGGATGAATGTATCATGCAGATCAAGGAGGGCAATCATGACACGGTTGCTGCAATTGATTACTGACCCCACACTAACACCTGCCCATTGACCCACATCTTCTGGAGAAATGGCATTGCCATAGTGCCCAGCGCGGTTGAGAAAAATAGCTAGCTGAATAGCAACTGGAAGCTGGGGGTTATTGGACTGATTAGTGAAGATGGGGTGACCTGAGATGTGATCAAGGATATCGTCAAAGATCTCGGGATTAACGCGTAGTTTCTTCCGGAAGAGATGAGTGCGAGATGTCCCAAAATCATGAAGGAGGTGAATTTGAGGGGCCCGCATAGGAGGTGCATCTGGCTTTTGAAGGACACGTGCCCTTGAGACCTCATCACGAAGGGAAGTGATAGTGTCATGAAGGCGGTCATAATGTGCAGCAACATGGGTGCTTTCATCATCCGAGTCTGAGTCCGAGTCTGAGTCCGAATAGTCGGATAATTGTGGGGTAAGAGGAGATGGAGGAGTGAGGACCATATCCAAGTCAGAATCAGAATCAGAGTCAGAAAAATCAGATAGGGTCATAGTACAAAGCGCATGCTTGTACTTGGAAATAGTTAAGGCTAATTCTGCCTTGTCCATTTCATCAAGCAGCTGGTTGCATAGGGAAAGACGGGGCATGATGAGGTTCAAGAGACACCAATATGAATATGCTTATCGATCCTTATCCATCAGCTTATCACTCCGTGTGATGGAATCCAAATATGGGGTCGGAGTTTAAATTTTCCTTTTGTGGTAACAAGCACTCTGGTGCAGACCAGCACCATCGACAATGACGACGACACTCTAGCACCCGTTCGGCATCTCGATTCCTCCCACCATCGTATGAAGACCTCCAAGTGGCCGTGTATGGGCGCACGACTCACTGGATGCCACATCACCATTCCCACCCCCACCCCCACCATTCGCGCCAGCATTGGTGCATACCCCACCACCACCACCACCACCAATGACCACCACGCTGCGTCCAATGCCACCAGCACTATGCGCAAATGCCCAACGCACGCCAGCAAGTGCTGGCATGGCGCGAACACTCGCGGACGACACCAGGAGGCCGAAGATACGAAAAGGATGAGAGGCGGCACTCTTGCTCATCGCACTCTCGTTCTCACTCGCACGCAGTGCATGTAGACTCGGTGCCTGCCGTTCACAGTTTATGAGTGCGTCGATCGTCCTTCGAGTTCGAGCCACGCTGATCCAAGTTGGTGCCCACCGTTCGCAGTTTGTGAGTGCATTGATCATCCTTCGAGTTTGAGCCATGCTATCAGCGTGGCTCAAACTCCTCCGTTCTTTGTGGCAATCGGACAGGGTCAACCAGGTGCAGGGAAAGGCAAGGTGCTCTTAGCCGTCGACAGTGAGCTCGAGCTTGTCCATAAGCTCATCCCTGCGACGGCCAAACATACTACTATTTTTGGGGATGCAGCCACATGAGCAGGTGCGCTCGAAGCTCTGCAGCAGGACCCAAAGCAGCCTTACAATTCGTATTTCGTCATGAGAGACGAACATTCGCAGGCTCACGATCCTCTCTGAAACGGTCACTCTGATAGTTTGTATGTAGCTTATTTTGTACTTAGTACAGTAATCTATCTGCGCCTCTTCTTCCCAAACACTAAGGGTCTGTTCGGACATCAGCCATTTTCAAAATTCCAGTTTAACACATACAAGACCAAATAGTCGGAGACCGAAAATGATGTCACGCTGATGCTAATGATAATGAATTTGATAGCGGTCACCGAGCCTATTGTGCCACGCAATGCATCCCAACGACCTCAATGCCGACTTCGATATGCTAGACCTGCTAGATCCACTAGACCAAGATGATATTGTCATTGAAGAACATGATGACAGTTTGGATGAAGAGTCCAATCATGCTAATGCAGCGGACTCCGACCAGCTGGATGTAAACGAGCTGCACTGGATAGACACGATGTTCCGCGGTGCTGCTCGTGTAGCAATGGCTATTGCTGATGCTGCTGGCCAAGTACTCCAAGATCACACACACACTCACTACAACAAGCAGCCCTATCATACTTCCGCCTTGTCTGGAATGGCATGGGTCAATGAGCTCCTCACAGGACATCCAGACCGCATACGATGTGAACTTGGTGTGCGGCGCCATGTGTTCTATGTACTGTTGAATCTACTTCATGATTCAGGGTGCAGGAATTCAAAATATGTCCCGCTTGAGGAGCAGCTCGCCATCTTCTTGTATGCAAGTGTCACAGGTCTCTCTGTTCGCCATCTTGGTGAACGCTTTCAACGCTCCAATGACACGATATCAAAGTATGTGATTCCCCAGTGTGATAAATTCGCTCATTTTTTTTGAAGGTATTTCAAACGTATTCTCAACGCATTTTCCTCCCCCCCAATTTATTCATTGTATGTCCGGCTACCCAGCGCAGACAGTCCAACACCTCTCGAAGTCCTTCGAAACCCGAAATTCTTCCCATACTTCTCCAATGCCATCGGTGCTATAGACGGTACTCATATCGCATGCCACCCTAGTGGCAAGGATCGCGATGTGACTCGCGATCGTAAAGGCAACTTAACTCAGAACTGTCTCATAGCCTGCTCCTTCAACATGTCGTTCCTTTACATACTGAGTGGCTGGGAGGGATCAGCGGCCGATGCACGTGTTTATCATGATGCTCGCATTACAGACTTCAACATCCCTCCAGGCAAATACTATCTTGCTGATGCGGGATTTGCTGCATGCGATGAACTACTTGTGCCGTATCGTGGAGTACGCTACCATCTTGCTGAATGGGGTCGTGGACATCAGGCGTAAGTAATGTTCAACTTAAGCTAACTTGTACTTACATTGTTTTGTAGGCCCTGTAATCACAGAGAATTATTCAATCTACGTCATGCCATGCTCCGAAACGTCATTGAGCGTATTTTTGGTGTGCTCAAGAACCGCTTCAACATCCTGCTTCTCCCACCTCATTATAACATGGACGTGCAGGCTCGTATACCTGCGGCACTGTGCCTGGTGCACAATGTCATCCGTATTCACGACCCGAACGACATGATGGACTACCGCCAGGTTGATGTGAATGAGCCGGAGTATAATGTTGGCACACTTGCAGAAGGTCCTCCCACTGCAGAGGCACGCACACGTGCACACCGACATCGTGACGAGATCGCCCTTCGCATGTGGGAGGACTACAATCTGACGAGAGAGCAGAGAGGTCAGTCAGTCATAGCGGACAATCTTTTGTAGTCGTTTGCGTCAATTTTATGTAGTCATTTGCACCAATTTTTCATAGACGGTTGAGCAGCAAAGTGTCATAGTATTTGGTGCTGCTACTACTACTAACAATATCAAATGCGAAGGTGATACAGCGAAAATTTACTTCAAGTATGTCGATAAGAAAAGCTTCCGGACGCTCTCCTTCTCAATGACAAGGTACGAATCAGCTATGGCAACATCTGCTTGGAAATGCTTGATAATTTCGACGATCTCATGGTCCTCCAGACCCTCCTTCTGTAGCTGGATGATAGCCTTCTGCTTGCGCACCGGAATGGGATCCACTGTGGGGCGCGAGGCAACCTGAGTTGCGCGCTCATGCATGACATCTGTTGCGCGATCGAAGGAGGTGGAGAGACCACGAATCTCCTTGGACATGCTTTGGAAAGCTTCTGGGACAGCCACACGTGGTGACTTGATGGACTTCCCTGACTCGGATGCAGATTTCGTAGAGCCCGGAGGGCGAGCAAGCGATCTCATGTTATCACCTGATTCTCCAGCTGCTTTTCGTTTGCTGCTGGCAATGGTAGAAGTACCTGGTGTAGAGGGAGTGAAGGTGGGCCGTTGCATCGGATCAAAGAGAGGAGGTGGCTCAGTCATGATGGTGGAGGGTGGCGGCATCATGGCGATATCTACATCCTGCGACTCGATGTCATTCAACGCTTCCTCCTGGTCGAGTATATTGGCTTCATCATAACTGATGCCATCTGGGAGGTGAGAAGAGGTAGCGTGACTCAGAGCCCCTACCAGCGCAGCGTTGTCAGCAGGCATGCGGGTGTAGAAAGCACGGCTTCCACGTGTATTTGGCGATGGTAGGAGTTCCTTCATTGCTTCATAGTGGGGCCAGCCTTTATTCTTAAACTTCCTTGCAGTGATAGGAGCCTGGATCATATTTAGGGATCCGCACGGGTATACCCTGGGGTGTCGGGGACCTGACCCGCACCCGCACCCGGCAAAAACCCGTACCCGCTCTGACGGGTACGGGTTTTCGGCGGGTACAACAAGCTCAGACCCGTACCCGCACCCGTGCAGGGTTTACCCGCGGGTACCATAGGTATCACCACCAGTGCTTAGCACATATGTCCAGCACACGTCAGCGAATGCTGACGTGACTCGAACATATGTGGATGGCACAAGAAGGAGGAGTGGAGGCGGTTGGTGTCGTGGATGGTGGCATTGGCGTCGAGGATGGTGGCGTCGGCATCGTGGATGGTGGGTGGCGTTGGCGTCGTGGATGGTGGCGTTGGCGTGAAAGCTGGTGGTGGTGTGAGTGCTGGGCGCACAAAGATAGGCGCTGGCGACGTGACGCGTATGACATCGTCGTTGTTGCTGGGGGTAGAGTCTTCAATGTGAGTACTCACTTTCAGCGTGCCCAAAGTCTCGTCTCCTCGAGTTCCTCTTTCCTCCTTCATCTCTATACCATCCCTTCTCCCTTCCTCGATTCTCTTGTCCTTTCGTCTTCGCGTGTCGTCCGCGTGTGTTTGCATCGCGTCAACACTTGTTGACGCGTTTCGGGCGCGCGCGCTGTGAACGTGGAGTTGGTGGACTTGGGAAGGCGCGTTAGGTGCCGGTGTTGGTGGTGGTGCCGGTTGTAGCGTGCACGCGGGAAGTATGGCGTCCGCTATTACTGATGCAGGAGGTGCTACCATTTATGGAAGGCACGGGTATAGCTGGGGTACGGGTAAGAGCGCGGGTCTTAGAATCCCAACCCGTACCCGTACCCCAGTAGTACCCGTACCCGTGACCCGCGCGGGTTACCCGTACCCGTGCAGATCCCTAATCATATTAGTAGTTGCCAGTGGTAGCGGAGTATTGACAGCACTCACTTTCGATGAGCCCATGTAGTCAGTCCATACCGTCTCAGATTCAGCTGTGATGTTGGCGCCATGCTCCAGACTGTACTCCCATCCAGAATAGGTCGCAATTGAGTCTACAACACCAAACGTGCTACGGAGCTGGAGGTCTTATTAGTATAGACTCTAGTACTGGTGCAACATGATGAGAACTTACCCGCACCCATTTCGATTGGCATGCATCAATTGTCTTCGGCGCACCTTGTGTGGTATGTTTAGATGTCTCATTAGAAGCAGAGGTCCAGAAGGTCTTGTCAAAGTTCATTCCGTTACCACCCTTAGCTCGGTGGGTAGCGATGTATTGGATGAGGTGTGTTTCATCGTCCAGTGTCCAGAAACATCGGTCCTTGGTTTCAGGGTCCTGACACTCCGGTGCGCTCTTCTTTCCACGTACCATGGTGCTCTTTGAACGTCCACGGTGGCTGAGACTTGAACGAGTCAATCTAGTGTTAGATCGCGTAGCTGGCATGTTATCGATGGGCTGATATGCTTTGTCACATATGTCACACTGACCCCCAAACATTACAAAGCACCATATGTTTGAAATTTGAAAATTCGTGGCAAAATTTGTGTATCCGAACAGACCCTAAGTCTCTCTTCAAAGTCCGACTGCGATGCCGAACGGAGCCGTACTTGTGTTAAGGTTTTTCAGACTGATTTAACTGACGTTTACCGAGCTTTACCGAACTTTAGCGAGCTTAGCGAGCTCTGTGAAATCTACTTTGAACGCCATTAATGCTGTACAGACCCCCAGTAGTTTGCTGATGCTGAACGCAGCCCACAATTCGTGCACCCTCCAATGTTACCTGAGGCTGCTGGAACCTCTGACGGATGGTATTATCCAGCTCATAGTGTCGACAGACATCACTCCATACTACCAACTTGCCCCTGATGCTTTGTTCGACCTCTCGCCTTCAGCTCCGCCTGCCGCTGCTCTACCTCGTCTTGCACACGCTCAATTGACTTGAAATATTTGACTGTTTTGACATGCAATTCTGAGTTGTAGTTCCGTATGTTTTGTTTCATTCAGAATGAGGTGACGATGGGTGGGCATGAAAAAGGGTTATATGAAGTGAGGAACGATAGGACAGCATCCGTACGTCAACCAAAGGTTGGATTTTATCAGAAAAACACCACGCACCGGCTGTCGCATCTTCATCGACTACAATCAACGCCCAAGGGTGGAGCTGCAGCGCCGAAAGAGTCCACTACGTCAGGAGTTATGTCAAGGTAAGTTCTTGCGAGGTGCTAGAAACGGCCTACTCACAAGGTGGTTTACGCCATCCTCTGTAGACGGCGAAAAGTTGAAACCAGATAACCAATGAATATAGCCTGAAAGCATGACTCACCGATAGCCTTGCTGAGAGCCAAGCTCTTCCTCTGACCCGTGACTACAACCACGACTTCCCTTGCTTCAAGTACTGTAGCAACACCGACTGTAAGGGCCATACGAGGGACAGCAGCAATGTTATTATTAAAGAAGCGGGCGTTGGCGAGGATGGTGTCGTAAGCGAGTGTCTTGATGCGGGTCCGGGACGCGAGGGACGAGCCTTTGATAGGAACGAGCATTATTCAAGTGTCAAGAAGACAGAACAATCATACGGTAGAGAAGCCACGAGGAAAGGGACAACAGAAGGTGAAGAAACGAGACATACCAGGCTCGTTGAATGCGATATGACCATCCTCGCCGATACCACCCAGGAAGAGCTCGATACCACCACACTGCTTGATGCGGGACTCGTATGCGTTGCATTCCGCGACCAAGTCTTCGGCGTTCCCATCCAGTAAATTGACTTGGGAGGGGGGGATATCGGCTGCGTTTATGAAATTAGTATAGGATTCTTCAGCGAGGGTGACTGGACTAGACGGACTATGTGAGAAAAACTCGCGGAACATGAATGTGTGGTAGGATTCTGGGTGGTCACGAGGAATGCCGACATACTCGTCCATGTTGAAAGTGATGACGTGCTTGAATCTGCAGTCATGAGTGGATAAACGCGCAACTTCGAGTATACTGGTTCAGCACTCACGATAAACTGCCCTCCTTGACTTTATTGATGAGAGCTTTGTAAGTTGGAATAGGAGAGGAGCCAGTTGGGAGACCGAGCACGAAAGGTTTGCTAGCGGTCGGTGCAAAGTCATTAATGCTAGTTGAAAGGAATGAGTTACAGGCAAAGAAATATGGATGAGGATGCTACCGTTTGGCAATGTAGTTGGCGACATAGTCGCCGACAGCGACAGGGTCGTCGCGAATGATAAGACCTAGTGACAGAGACGTAAGCACATTGAACATGAATAGAAGGAAGATGAGCGGACGCATAGCGGCAATCTACAGTAAGTACTTGCTAGTGGTACAGAGATGGCGAAGGAAGAGGTAGGATTCAACAAAGTGTCTGTATGAATTCCAACTCCAACCTGAGTGTGTTTTTATCCTGCATTACATGTCCGCGGTGCTTCTGAAATTACTGAGTTCCATTGGTGAATCAGCTGGAATGATAGCTGGCAGTGTCTTGGCCATGTGCTCGAACAATAATAACATGCTATCACATGTCATGCGTCCTAATCGCCATTAACTTCCCACCTTGTCAATTCTTAGATAGAACGCTCAACGGAACCTGCAGTTGCGTCTTCTGAACGTTCGTCATTAACCTTGTTAGCAAATGCTCCAAATCAGTGCGCGCACGTTTAATTTGCCGCGGCCGGATCTGTTGTCTTCTGGTTTATCGTCTACATCAAAGTGGTTCTCGAAGTGAGGAACCTGCAAAGGAGAGTTTGAGAACGCAAACTGTGACCAGCCAGTCTCATCTTCGAGACAATGCCACTCCATACAGAACTTGCACTGACTCGAATACCTCCTACGATTTCTGTCAAGAGAAATATTACATGGTAGCATTGTTGGAGGTATACAGCTGCGATTAGGAAGTTTCTACAGATGAAGCACAGAAAATGATCATGTCTCTGACGTCGAGGCAAATCTTGCGACAACGAGCGCAGTCACTAACGACGAAAGTAGGTTGACCTGTGGTACAGTTAGCATTAAGACAAGGGAGGATAATATTAGATTGCCTGATTGTTTGTCAATAAATTGAGTCCGCTGATAACTTTGACAGTGTCTTTCCGTCCACGTTCAGGTTCCTCCTTGTGGCCAGTGAGAATGATCTTCTTGTCGACCGAATAGCGCGTGCGCTGTACAGTCGCTCCCAGGAACGAATCCAGCTAGTGTTGTCGCATCAATATAAGGCACAAATGTGATGCAAGTTGAAACCTACCAAGCTCCCGCCAACACCTGCTGCACTTCCCCAAAATATGAGTGACGGAAGAATAGTTATCCAACTGCTCCTGCAGTGCGCATTCTCCACAATGATCGAAATGAACATCGTTACACCCATGGACAAACCGCCAAATAAGCTGGCAAGTGTCCCGCCGACCGAGACACCACCATTTGTACCGGGTGGAACAGTTTTCAGCGTCGTGATAAGGATTGGCGGGCGGGAAGAGAGGATACCGAGTTCTGACGCGAGAGTATCCCCCAGGCAGCAGGCAAAGTGACTGGTGGTGAGGTATTTACAAGCCAATGAAACAAGACGCATCAAGTAGAAGGGTGTAGCTTACCCAAGCACCACAAATATCAACGCGCGACTCCATCCACTTGATACCGTTGCGTCCAATGGGCACCATTGACCATCTACATATGGCACACTCTCCAACAATACTGAGCCCGAGCGAATATAATAGTTGACTAGACTCCACGGCAACATGTCAGGGGAAAAGGCAAGACACCATATTCCACTCGCAAGTAGCGCGGTGAATGAGTTGCAGAGAACTTGAGCGCCAGACCGGTAGCCAGCGTCTTGATAGTCATCTTCAAGCTGAGCCTTCCGCTTCTTGCCGTCTGACTAGTGGTTACAAGACATGCCAGTGGGATCGCTCATTGGGTTGACACTTACATTTGGTGGCTCTGGACCCGATCAAGTAGAACACGATGAGAGTGATCCCAATGGTCCGCACAGGCACTGCAAGAATGCTGAAGCCAACCACGAAGGCGGTCACTGCACCGGAGAAAGAAAGCGATCGCGAGCGCAATCCATGCACGCTGAGCAGAACGGCGATAGTTAACGGTATCAAGGGAATGGGTGCCATGATGGTCAACAAGCGAAAACTCGTCCGAGCAGTTCACGGCGAGATCGATGTTCCCATTACATAAAGGCCTTACGTTCTGTTTGATTATTATCGATATCTTGTCCGGGTTCTTGGCAGTGATGAAGAGTAGATCCAATATTTGAATTCTGTGGCTCGTTCGCAATCAAGGAATACTTTTTTGGGTACATAAAAGAGTCCATAATGCATGGATACGCAACATGTTCAACTGGTAAATGCGTACAATTTGGAAGCAAAAGACATAAAAAGGAGATACGAGTGCCAATCTTGATAACTGAACATATATCATGACATGAAGATGGTAACAGGCTTGTGTAACCAGATTTCTGGAAACCAAAATGAGGGTGTTTAGAAAAAATTAGAGCATGCATGCATGCATGAAGGCTTCTGGATCCTAGCACCAAGCCAGTAACCAAGCTTGAGTCATTCGATATCACAGAACCTAGATTGGGGTTGTATACTCAGCCAGAGATGTGTCACCTACGCAATTGCAGAGGCAGTGGACACTCCGTTCACCTGGCTGAGCGCAGCGTCCGCCTTTTGAAGATCGTACTCGCTAAGGCTTTTGAATGCCCCACCGCCGGGCGTGCTTGCCCCAGACATCACGGATGACGCGCGCGAGCGGACTTTCATGACAAGAGGGCTGGATACAGGAACACATGAGTAAAACACCAGTTGGTTAAAGAACACCTACAAAGGGTATCCGTCCTCTTCATCTTCCCCTGTACGCGACCAATGGCCCTTGTAATCGCTGGTTTCCAAGCGTTGCATCTATAGCACAATCGGTACACCCCAGCTCGCCTCATGACAAAAGATGCCTACCTCCTCAGTAAGTGTTCCAAGATCGCCTGGTGTTGCGAGTCCCGAAATTCTGAGCTTCGGACTGGCTTGGACAGAAACTGGGAATTCTCCGAAGCCCCACTCTACATCTTCCCCGTTGTCCTCATCGAGGCCAATGAATGCGTCGGGGTACGCCCTCCGAAGCGCAAGCATCCGAGCCTTCTCGTACTCAAGGCCTATATTCTTCCAATCTAGAAGTGGCGAGAGTCGCTCGACGCGGTTTCGCTGGTTGATCCGCTGGCGCCGCGTTTTCTTGACAAAGTCGAACATTGAGTTCGTGAGCGCGTTGACGCTTTCATCGATGGAGGTGGTGCGTCGGTCGATGATGTAGATACCCTCGTCAGAGGGATTATGGATCGAATCCTCCATAAAGCACCCGAATCCGGAGAGGTTTGTTGT